CCCCCCCCCCCCCCTCATAGTTCTCCTTTTAATCCTCTATATTTCTCTATCCAGCTCTAACCCTCAAACCCTAAAACTGAAACCCTAGTTCCCATTGACAGAAATTCTAACCCTTCCCCACTCTCCTAAAAATTTGTTTTTTTTAAATTTTTCTCCCAATGGAAGAGATTTCCTCTCACTTCCTGTCCTGACAGGAAATAAGGGTAGCCTTGCCCAATAGGGATACAGACCGCAATACAAATCTGTTTGTTTCTCTTCCTCTCAGGCTCTTCGTGGTGAGAGGGAAACCAGCAGAGGTCTTCCCTGCGCTTTTCAAGAAGTGGAAGGTGACCCGGCTGACCTTCGAGGTGGACACCGAGCCGTTCGCCAAGCAGCGGGATGCGGAAATAGAGAGGCTGGCGGCTGAACACAACGTGGAGGTCATACAGAGGGTCTCAAACACCCTCTATGATGTAGAAAGGTGAGTTCCTTATACATTGACTGTGAACTTCTGAGGGTTCCCCCTAGTGGCATGTGTCTGGTTACTGCAAGTTTATTCTGCCTTCCCTGGCTCCGCCTCCCACCTTTTTTAAATGTAAACTTTTCATTTTAATGACATACCTTATTGTAGACCCGGTGATGTCATCACTAGGTCCCTATGCTTCTCTATGCATTGCCCTCACACCTACACTTGTGCAGATTTCGATTCTCTACAGTCTGCGCTCTTGTAGCGGGATGCATGTTCCCCTTGACGGGTGTCATCCATGGGTCTCTTCTCCTTGCACATGTATTTTCCTATGTACTGCGTGTAACACGTGTGCTGCATGCGCAGGGTCATCGCCGAGAACAACGGGAAGCCCCCGCTGACTTATGTCCGCCTGCAGACTGTGCTGCAATCCATCGGACCCCCAAAGCGGCCCTGCAAAGCACCAACCAAGGACGACATGAAAGGTCAGGATTTCAGATTATGGGTCGGGGAAGTTTTATCCCAATGAAGCACTTTGGGGGGAATTTTATCAATAGTGGAGCAGACAGAATCTGGAGCAGTTGACAATGGCAACCAATCAGCATCTCTCTTCAGTTTGCTCAGGTAAGATTTGAATATGAGAGAGAGAAGCTGATTGGTTGCCGTGCAAATCTGCTCCAGTTTTGATAAATTCCCCCTTTTATATTATTATTGTTTCTTTTACTGTAACTCAATATGAACATGAAAACGACGCGCAGGACACGCCTCCCTCCTGGGTGTCTGCAATTTCCCCCCTGGTATTAATCCTTTGCCCATGTATGCCATGGCAGCTGAATCCTCGGGTCCTCCTTATTGTCTGAATGCTGTTAAACCCAATTCATGACCCCGGCCCATTACAGGCTAGGCGCCCAGTACCCATCAGGTAACATGACTAGAACTCTATTGGTCATTTGCATACCTAAAGGATGTTTTAAAGGAGAACTATGGGGGGTCAGTGTCTTTCCCCATAGTTCTCCTAAGGGTCATGGGATGACACAAACTAGCGTCCTCCCGTCACCCTACAGCTCGCGGTATACTGAGACCGCCGCAGCCGGGACGGATCCCGACATTACTGCCGAGATCCACCCAGCTGCGTGATTGACAGCCGGCTCTGCCTATCTAGAGGCAGAGACAGCTGTACCCGCCCCCTCCCCCGTCCGTTCCGCCAGTCAGCGCTGGAGGATCAGAGCGGGGAGTAATCCCTGCGGGGAGCCGTGAGTGACAGTCACGGCTCTCTGCAGGGACATGATCGAGAAGTGAGCGAGCACTGGTATGTGTTCCCTCACTTCCCGGTCTATTGAGCCGACGCGTGACAGTTTCATTGTCACACGTCGGCTCAAACTATGAGGTTTTTTTTTAACTTTTACTGTCTGTATTGCAGTGTAACAGTCGCAGCCTGATCGCTTCAGCTGTCACTTCGTCTCGCTCACAGGCACGGTGGCAGCTGAGCCAGCAGGTTTGTTTTCAAAGGTTAAACTGCGCTGTATTCCATAGAACTGCACAGAAGGCAGTGTCACTGACTGCGCTGGTCTCACATTATGGATCGGGAACCCGTTGGCTTCTTCGTCTCGCTCACAAGGCGCTGTGACAGCTGAGCCAGCAGGTTTGTTTTGTAAACAAAGCCATGTGATCAGCGTTGTTGACTGCCGCTGGAGTCACATGGCTTTGTTTACAAAACAAACCTCCTGGCTCAGCTGTCACCGTGCCTTGTGAGCGAGACGAACTGTTCCTGACCCATAATGTGAGACCAGCGCAGTCAGTGACACTTCCTTCTGTGCCGTTCTATGGAATACAGCGCACTTTCACCT